CTCTCTCTCTCTCTCTCTCTCTCTCTCTCTCTCTCTCTCTCTCTGCTCTCCCTCTCTGCTCTCCCTCTCTGCTCTCCCTCTCTCTCTCTGAATTACATCTCACATACACACAGACATGCACACCCATACATAAATCTATGTATCATCTCCGTGCTGCTTGCGCACCTCGTAGTTGTGTTTTTTTTTTTTTTTGTTTGTTTTGTTTTTTTGTGCAGTGGATGCATCCAACAACACCGCAGCCGGAGAACCCTTAATACACACATGCACACACAGATCTACAGCGCTGTCTGGCTGCTGCTCCAGTAGTATGTGAAGGTTCAATAGTGGGGGCTGGTCCTCTGTAATATAATTTTTTTTTTCTTAGGTTGACTTTGTTTTTCTACCTTCTCTTCTTCGCCCATGTTTGTCTTTATTTATTTGAACACACACATACATGTTTCCTCATTTACAATTTTTTTTTTTTTGAAATCATTGTCAAATGCGTACGAGGTCAACTGGACACTGCCTGAGCCACAAGAATGTTCTCATCAGGCTGGAGATGTTCACTCAGGAGATACTCCTAACTTCTTCCAGACTCATTATTATTTTATTTTTTTTAATGATTGTTTCGCCATATTTTTATGTTCTGCTTTCGCCCTTCCTCCTTTTGCAGAAACACCCCTTTTAAGACAATTTTAATGTATGTTGTTTTAAAGACACTTTTTTTAAAAGTCTTGAGACATTCTTGCAGTTTTCCCATGTTGCACGAATTGATGTAGAAATTATGTAGCCTGGTTGTACAGAGTGTACAGTGATTCCCATCCCCACCCTGCCAAATGTGGGGGAAAAAAAACCACAATTGACGCTTCGCTCTCAAAAGGTTTGTAGTTGCTTTTAACTGCGGTTGAAGCGGTAAATTTAAAACCAACTATGATGCCTGAACGTTTGTCACTTGATTGCATAACTATACCCGTGCAGTGATGACTCTCCGGAACAACCCGGCCTAAACTTGGCTCCTCCCTGACACATAAATATTAAACACTTGAGAAGTCTATGAATCCATTTATTACTTTCCTTCTCTCCAGGGCTTTGGCATCATCTTGTGGCATTTTAGTATGACAGAAAGTACAAAAAAATAAGCTGGAAAAGTGAACGGTGAATATGCGTGCGGGGCATTTCGGTGCAAATGTCGGTGGTCCTCATGTAGCAGCACACAGCTTCATCTTCACCATTCTGTTTATTTATTTGTATTCTTTGTTGAACTTCCTCCCAGTGGAAGAGAGGCTCACTTCAGACATTTTAATTTGCAGGCACATTCATGTGGTAACTGGTGGCTTTTAAAATTAAATCCTCCCGCTGTCATGGCATGTGTAAATATCGTTTCTTTGACCTCTGTCTCTCTCTCTTTTTTAATTTTTATTATATTACAGAGCTGTTTATATTTCCCGCCACTCTTTCCGTCCATGTTTGTGCTTGCTTGTTCTGTAAATACACCTTTGTCGCCGTGTAAATATTGCAAAGAAGAAAAAGCTTGTCCTGTTTGTCCAACACCTTTCTCTCTCGCTCTTTCTTTGCTCCTTGTGAAGTAGCTGTTCGCATCAGGTCACCCCCCCCCCCCAATGAATCTCACACAAATATATCCTGCAAGTGGCACTAGTGGATATGTTAATTGATGTGGGCACCTTAACTTTATTTGGCAACAGAGCTGCTTGTTTGTGTGAGTGCAATGTCAAGATTCCTGTGCAGTATTTAGGGGGGGCGGGGGGGGGGTGCAAGAGTTACATTTTATCACTCGTAGTCACGCAATGTCTAGGTGTAAGGACGTTATGTCTTGTAAGGAGCTCCGATGTTCTGCTAATTATCACCGTGACACATTTTGTGGTGCAACTGCAAACGAGAGTTTTGTTGTGGGTGTTTTTAATCTCCCCCCTCCCCCATTACCTTTGAGTTTTGCTCTGAGCGAAGAAGGAGAGAGAAAGAAAAGCCAACCTGTTTGTCTCCGTTCTGTGTGTGTATGTGTGCGGGCGCGCGTGTGTGTATGTGAATGCATTTACTGTAATAAAGTGATGATGAAACTGTGTTTCACTCGCAGTCTTTATTCACGCTTAATGAATTATTGGTGAAACGAGTGCTTATTGCAGCTTCTCCCCCCCAAAAAACAAAAACTTGCATAAGTGTTTTTGACGTTCCAGCGGATGGAACAATCGCTGCTCACACGTTTAATGGTAAAGGCGTTAAATAAAAAGACGAGCCGACATTTTTAAAGATGACTTACTTTTTTCTAATGACGTGTTGTATGAGGCATTTCAAATACTTATTTAGTACGGTAAGTAAAAAAAGACCTGATACCAGATTTTTTTAATACGGTCATGTACAAGACTTTATAAATGTTATGTAAAACATCAGCATATATACCGGCACTCAAATTTACATGTACTCAAAGATGACAATTTTAATGAGAACAGTAAGACATTTATAAAATGACATTAAAAACCACATGATACTGAAGAAACATGTGATGTGACATTTTTTTTAATGACTAGATGTATCGTACACAGTTTTAATTGCATGATAAGGCATTAAAATAAAACAATGGGCGGCCAGGTGGTCGACTGTTTAGCGCGTCGGCCTCACAATGCAGAAGTGGTGGGTTCGATTTCAGCTCCGGCCTTCCTGTGTAGAGTTTGCATGCTCTCCCCATGCCTGTGTGTGTTTTCTCCGGGCACTACGGTTTCCTCCCACCTTCCGAAAACATGAATGGCAGGCTAATTGAACACTCTAAATTGTCCTCAAGCGTGAGTGTGCGCGCGACCGGTTGTTAGTGTGTGTGCCTTGCGATTGGCTGGCAACCAATTCAGGGTGTACCCCCCGAAGAGCCGCTAGAATAGGCTCCAGCACGCCCGTGACCCCGGTGAGGATAAACGGATTAGAAAATAGATGGATGGTAAAACTATCCAAGTTTGCAGTCCGAAAATGGCGGTGTAGCAATCTAAGCAGTCCAAAACAGGATGAGGTGTCCCTTCCGATTGGAAACCAGAGAAATGCTTGCAAATGGTTCCTATGTTGGCGTTCATGTATCAACCGGCAGTGGCGAAATAAAGAGGCGATTTTTGGCTGTATTAGGAGCGGAGAGAAAAGGAAAAAAATGAAAGCGAATCACATGCCATGAAATTCGACAACCTGGCTGCAATTACGCAACACGACATCGTCTTCAGGCGTCACACTGTCGCCGTCTCCTGGTCAGTATGTGAAATTTCAATTTTGGAGTTCCCGATTAAAGACGAAAATGAAATACTGTAACGAGTTGTTTTTTCTGTTTTTAAATAACTACCTGTAAACGTAATATCCAATGAACAAAAGAGACACTGATCCGGATAACCAGAGAAATAATTCAATCCCCTTTCAACTGAGAGACGCTGTGTTGCGAAGGGGTTCATGCAACAGTTCACAAGTAGATGTGAATATTTACAAATGATAAATCATGATAAATGCTCGCACAACATGAACAAATCACGGACATATTTGTGGATCTCAAAAACAGGTTAAAATCATGAATATATTTGTGTGAATCATTTGCGAAGGCTTCCCAGGTGACCTTTTCAACAATGACGTACTTCCGGTGACGGTTAAACACGAGAACGACAAAAGAGCTAACGAGAGTGGTAAACCTCCAAGGTAAACAAACACGCTTTCAAATTATTACGCTGCCCCGCAGTTCAGTGTTTAAAACTAACTTATGTTTTATTTGCGAGGGCCTCAATGAGACTGTATTTAATGTCGGCCTTATCGGTAATGTCTTTGCGTCTTTAGCTATCGAAGCGAGGTAATTCTGTTAGCAAGTTGGCCGCCGAAGATTTTTAAAGCCTTTCGGGTCGTAATATCTTCATGTAAATAATATATTTACTATCACGCTCTCACGGCCAAGTTGAACATAACATTTCTTCCTCGTCTCACGTTTGACGCGACACTTCACAAAGTATAATTGTAATGTCGATGTGAACTCAATGCGAAAAGCCGACGCTTTTGAAACCGTACACCACAAAGCCACCTTATAAATGTTACCCACAAGTATGTTTTGTTAACAATTTCTCTCGCGGGATTATTAATTTTAATTTAGGTGTCCATAACAACAGGATACTGTTCAGGTGCTGCATGCACATTTGTATTTGTGGTTTTGTGTTAATGCTTCATCATTGAGAACAGTGCCCTGAATTTGAGCTGTTTTGTAATTTAGCACAGCTGTGGATAAAATATCTATCCTGGCATACGATGTGAGTTGACTGAAGGTGTGACGTGTTGTGTTTTCAGGTTGCATGTGAGGGCCATGGCTCGTGGGCAGCAAAAGATTCAGTCCCAGCAGAAGAACGCCAAGAAGGCCGCCGAGAAGAAGAAGGGGCAGGCGGCCGACCAGAAAACTGCTGCCAAGGTGGCGCTGGTCCACACATGCCCAGTCTGCAGGGTACGGCCACAAACACTAAGAAAATGCTTTGGCTATCGTGTCATGAATTTATCCGATTACGTGTGTGTATATATAAAGCCCCGCATAGTCGCAGTTTAGCACTCTCCCATTTTGTTTCTTGTGAAACATTATTTTGTCGCTGTCTGGTGAAGAACATTTAAGTCCTTTTTTGTCTTTTTTTTCATGTTAATGGGATGTTTGGAACCACATCGGCTTTTCCCTTCAGGTGTTGCCACAGCGAATCAGTTGCCTCATCTCATCCTGCCTTGTGCATCCTCTTCCCTCACACCGACGACCTTCATGTCCTCTTTCAATACATTCAAAAACGCCTTACTATACATGGTCGTTTTTTTCGGCTAAAAACGCCTTTCTATAC